TTATGACTAAATGTTTTCAGAATGAATCCTCAGTCAGGCTACAAATTAGCCAAACATAAGTCATACAATTACGGTCACAAATAAGTGACTCACAAACCCAGATATGTCTTTGAACAACCCAACAACAAAAGACCCATTTCAATGGAGAAATAGCATTTATTTACACATCCACTCGTAGTGTCATCACAAACATCAATGGCATATCATAACGGAAATTCTTGTTAATATATTATCATGCATAAAAATGTTTTACTGCACATTAAAAATCCTGCCAGTAAGACTCCATTAAACATGTTAGTAGATCTATAAATACTGAAATACTGTAAACCACCAAAAAAAAAAAAATTCATCAAAATCTACCACTATAAATGCTTGTCAATACATTCAAACTATGCTAACTTATTGTGGCACACCCCCCCCCCCCCCATGAACTAAAAACCATTTCATGTATTATTATATGCAACTGAAACATCTGACACATTGAGGCCTGAACTAGGCTAATATTTTCTATTCAAGTGCATAGACAGGGGGTAAGATTAACTGAGTTGCAAGTTCAGTATCTCATGCAGCTATCTATACACACAGTATGAAATAGGCACTGGTGTTTGTTTGTTTGTTTTAGTATCCAGAAGCCATGGGTTGTTAACCCTTAGGCTCGGTATTATGGATATCGCAACCGTTCGGCCTTGATTCCATTGTAAATACCGTAAATCTGGGAGAAAATGTGGCTTTTCTGCCTACCCCCGGACCACAAGGAGTTCGTCACCCGGTCTCCGCGCAGTCCGGTTTAGCCAACTACGCTAGAGAGCCGGGCAGGCACTGGTGAAAAGAATATACAACCACTGCTGAAAACTGCCTAAAATTTCAGGCACAAACTGAAATTAATAATTTCCCCTGCTAGATATTACAGACTGGTGCTCATAAACAGTGCATCCAAAGAACTTGTACATTAACATAAAAAACATGACAATATAACAATAGAAGAACAAACCAGACTCGGAAAACGTGTAAGACATTGAGTGTCATTCTAAAAACAGGAACCAAAGCCAACAACACATAATATGAAAAATGAAGAGAAAAAAAGGAGACACTCAGGGGATGGATGAGACGGATATACAATCAGACGGTTACTGGCACCATAGAAATTGGAACTCTTTTGCTTTCTGCTGAAGATGAGGACTGAGCACTTATGGGAGTGTCCCTAGGGCTGTGATGTCGATTCTTAATTCAACATCAACTGACAGAATGATGATCTTTTTCACTTTTGAAAGCAACAGATTCTGGTAACTTATCAGAACTTGAGATATGCAACTGAATCATGTAATTTGGCCGATAAATGCAAAGGTGTGGACAGATAAAGCGGGTAATGAAGATATCTTAAAATAAGTTAAAAGCACAAAGATAACCAATTATCCACAACAATCTAAATTCTTTGGTCACGTCATGAAAAGAAAGCTGGAATACATAGTGAGGGTAAACAAGATAGAATAGAAAAGGGGCAGAGGAAGACTAAGACAGGCGCTAGACATTCCAACACCAGGACAGGAAGATCATCAGTGTTAGAAATGATTGGAAATACATGAAACAGAAGGCTGTGGATAGACTACCAAAGCCATGCAGTACGGACTGCATATTTCAAATAGCTGTTGTGCACACATGATGAAACATGGCGGATAAGCAGGTTTACTACTTTTAGTTGCAAGTTTTTGCTTCTGGGACAGTAAGTTGTTGCATCTGCCTTCATATGTAGACAAAGGATACAGCCTCATAGCTCAGCTTCTGAGTTGAGTGCATGGTGCAACACTGTGAGCTGCAGATTTCATTTGGAATGCTTATCAGCTGTCCAGCATTGTTTGTGTTGTGGACTGCAGATTATAAAATAGTAAGAGTGTTGCCAGAGAGCCTGTGCCTTATGTGATTGAACCCAAGTGCAACTACTGATTTGTTGCAACTGCAGCATCAACCAATGATGAACTTTATGTCCTACTGTGTTGGCACTTCTGACCACTGCCCTATACATTAAGTTGCTGCTGGATTTGTGAAGAAGCAGTCTACACATTTTTTTTTCACAAGGAGCAGTGACAGGCTTTTTATGTGGTTTTCATTGGCAAAGGGCAAAGACCCGTTTGCTATAAGGGTGAAACTGCGATCACTGGATTACCGATGACATAGGCTCATATATGTATGAAGACCGTGATTCTTTTGTGGCATAGATGAATTTATTGTTTAACACTGTAAATGAAATGAATCTTAAATGTAATTTAAAAATCGCAACGAATTAAATAATTTAATGATAAATTAAGTAAACTGTTACAGCTGGAAACATTTATTTAGGAACTCCGGCATTTAAAATGGCCGCCATGAGAACTTTGTCCTTGAGTGTCTGCTCCAGCTCTTGCTCATCCAGCTTCAAGGAGACCTGAGGAGATTTCATGACACATTAGATCAACAGATATTCTTCATCTTAAGATTCATAGTTCCTAACACTTTCAAAACGACAGAATCCGCTGTACACACACAACGTGATTGTGACCGACTTACAGAGCATGTTGAGAAAGGCAGACATGCTCTGTGCAGCAGAATGGTAAGCATCACTTCAGAGGTCCCAGGTAGTTAGGCAGATAGACTGGCCGGCTTTGCACCACTTGGTGGTGAATTAATATATGACAAGCTAGATGCTGTGAGGGCCCATGGGGAGCAAGTGAACAGTGCGGAGGCATAGATCATTATGGTCCGAGAAGAATGGCGTTGCGGGGAGTTACTAGGGGATCTGGCCGACACTCAACCCTCAAGGAAAGGGCGAGACAGATACACAGTCAGAAAGTTACTGGTTCTATCGGAATTAGAGCTTGATGCTGAAGATGGGGACGGGGTGTTTAAAGAAGTGCCCTGAGCGCTATGATGTTAATATTTGATTTAACATTCAAAATGACGTTTTGATAACATTCATGGGATATTAAGTTGTTTGTTACACTGGCATATCTACAGCCTAGATACGTCTATAAATGTAACAATAAGCTAGTACCCATTGTCTGGTATTGTTTCGTTTACTTACACGCATCTTCATTTGACTTCGCAGGTTTCAGGGGATGACAATTTGTGAAAAGATAAATTCAGAGTAGCCAATGTGTGAAAAAGGCCACAAAACTCTTTTAAAACCACATTTCAGTGGGCATGAGCTTGAAATTAATAGCAGATCTATCGTCCCCTGGGGGACAGAGATCAGGAGAAGAAATTAGCACAGAAAACACCTGCTCTCATCTGAATATGTAAATGCATTTAAAACATGGCTGCAATATTCATGCTCTATTTGTTAATTAAAAAGGTGCTCTCCAAAGTAGGTCAAGCTGCAATGATTGCAAAGTGACGCTAAAAGGAACCATACTTGATGTCAAATAACAAGGAACCATACTTGATGTCAAATAAAAAGGAGCCGTGCTGGTGTCAAATAAAAAGGAACCACACTGGAGTCAAATAGAAAGGAATCACACTGGTGACACATAACAAAGAGCCGTGCTGGTGTCAAAAAGCAAGGAACCACACTAGTGAGAGAAAAAAAATTAAAGAACCATACTGATGCCAAATAACAAGGAGCTGTACTGGTGACAAAAGAACCATAATGATGCCAAATAACAAGGAGCTGTACTGGTGACAAAAGAACCATACTGATGCCAAATAACAAGGAGCTGTACTGGTGACAAAAGAACCATATTGATGCCAAATAACAAGGAGCTGTACTGGTGACAAAAGAACCATAATGATGCCAAATACCAAGGACACTGGTGACAAAAGAAACCATAACAAATAACAAGGAGCTTACTGGTGTCAAAAGAACCAAATGATGCCAAATAACAAGGAGCTGTACTGGTGACAAAAGAACCATAATGATGCCAAAACAAGGAGCTGTACTGGTGTCAAAGAACCATACTGATGACAAATAACAAGGAGCTGTACTGGTGTCAAAAAAACCAGAACTGAGGAAGGAGCTGTACTGGTGACAAAAGAAATACTGAAAAATAACAAATGTACTGGTGACAAAAGAACCATATTGATGCAAAGTAACAAGGAGCTGTACTGGTGACAAAAGAACCATATTGAATGCCAAATAACTGTATGTGACAAAAGAACCATAATGATGCCAAATAACAAGGAGCTGTACTGGTGACAAAAGAACCATATTGATGTCAAATAACAAGGAGCTGTACTGGTGACAAAAGAACCACACTGATGCCAAATAGTTGTTATTAAAAAAAAAATTTAGCTATAGAGAATAACTTGAAAACCATTTATTTTTTACACACACACACCTTTTTTTCCAACACAATTTTCACCAACAATAATGCACGTGTCCCATAATTTTATCTGTCCTCCTCCTAACCTGCTGCATAGAACTGCGTGCTGTTTTCTAAACTACATTTTCACTTCACATTCAACTTCTGCATCATTCGCAAAGTGTCTCCCGTCAAGGTGGGTTTTTAGTAAATTAAAAAGATGGAAATTGCTAGGGGCTAAGTCGGGGCTGTAAGGCCGATGTTCTAGAAGTTCTCATGGCAGATGGTTAATTTTCTCCCAAATTAACCAAGCCGTACATGGTCTGGAATTGTCATGAAGGAGCAGTACTCTAGTCAACAGGCCTGGACGTTTTCTAATTGCATCATAAAGCATCAATAGAACTTTATAGTACGAATCAGCATTCACACTGTCACCTGCTACAGAGACAACGACTCGTTTGTCACCTCTAATCATCTTTTCCGTCTGTTGCACGAATGCTGTTTTAAAAAAAAAAAAATCCCAGCTATGCACCGCTTTATTCGATAAACATTTTTCAGCAAAAACAGAAAGCATTTCCTTATGAATATCCTTTGCAGGCAGCCCTTTTCTGCCTAAATAAAGTTGCTTCATAAAGTGTCCGTCTATTACAGTAGGGCTAAAAAACAATGATACACAAAAATGTGCCAATACTGTGTGTCACCTGACAAAAATGGCCAGGCTCTGCTTACCTTGGCTAGTCTAGTGTCCTTTGCTTTCTTGACTGTTATGATGCCACGAGAGTCTAGCAGAGACAATACTGAGCTGAATTCCCCCTGATCTACTGGAGCCATCTGCTGGTGCCTGCAGACTTTAGTGTAAACCTCATGGAGCTGTAGAGAAATGCAGTGACTACAATAGTGAAAGCAGGAACGAATGATGTCACCAGCAAATGGATATTGATTATTATGTCTAGGAAGCTCCACAAAATATGGACACAGAAATGACCTCCACACCCTCCAACCCCAAATGCTGTGACCAGTCTTTGTCACTGAACCAACGTGAGGGAGAATCTTCGTCTTCACTTCTTCTTTGCGCTCACAGGTCGTAAACTTCGGCGAAAAAAGTTTTGTTTTGTTCCTTCACCTCCACACCCTAGTCTTGTTCCAGAGCCCGAGTGTTGCATGCACGTGCATTTTACAGATCTGACTTATCTGTATGCACACTGCTGGTTCCTTGCTCCTTAGGCAGATGTTCTCTGATTCGGAAGGAAGCCCCCAATTAGTAGACTTTTTCAACGTGCTTTTGGGGACTCCCTGGGCCTATTTTTTCTTTCCCCTGGAACCTACAAGGGGAACTTTGTCATTTAACCTTTCAGGTATCGAGAGAGATGCACTGCTCTTCTAGCCTTGAACATAAACATTTTATACTATCATAGCTTCTCTTATTTTTCTTTGGTAATAGAGAGGAGGCAAACAGTTTTTAAAGACAGATACAGGGCTAATCCTTATATACGGAAGTGAATTCATGTACAGTTGGCTATTATACAATAAGCCATTTAGTGAAAACTTAGGTGGAGGTGGCAAAGATGTGGTCTGCAGACAAATAATGAGAACACAGTGGACAGATAAAGACCAATGAAGATGTCTAGAAAGAAATTAGCTCTTGAAGAGCTACGGACTTTAAGAAGTTTTTCTAATGTTATTCCCCCTACATCGTTCTTAATCTATCTCAAGCTCTAGCACCTATCCTCTCTTGGTATATGCATTGTGTTTCATCTGAGTTCATTTATATAGTCTTCTTCTAACCAATCGTATCTCTCCCACCCTACACATTTGATCACACAGTTTAACATGGAATGTGACTAGCTGCAGTATTTTAATTGTATGACACTGACCTTATTTACTGATGTCTAATTTGGTTCTATTTTTTTATATTTTCTTATCAGACTGTTTGTTCTTTGCCTCTTAGGCAGATGAGATGCACTCCAACTTTATAGGAAACATCCATTATTAGTCTCACTCCTATGACATGCTTGTTAGGGGGGCGGGTGTGTGTGTGTGTGTGAGAGAGAGAGAAGTTGACCTATCCCCCCCCCCCCAATTTTAATTAATAAATGTCTGGGTCAGAAGCAATTAAAACAAAACCCTGAGGCAGAAGAGTGAAATCAACAACTGCTGCTGATTGAATCAATATAACAATTGAGCAACTGAATGTGGCACAAGGAGATAAGAAGGTAAATCATAAACAGAAATCAACAAGTGCATAATATGTTAATTCGTACTGAATGAGTCAACAAGTACACGATGCGTTGATTTGTACTGAATGAGTCAACTCAGGTGCCAAATTAAGGTGTTTTGTTTTAATCAGGTGTTGGGCTGAAAGTTGCAGATATCACAGCCTGGTTGTAAACAAAAACACACAACAATGACAAACACAGAAGAACTAGCTGAGGTAGAAGAGTCAGTAACAGAAATATTCTCACAAACAAAGGCTCACCTTTCCCAGTTGCACCTCTTTCATCTTGCCCTTTTTAATCAAGACAAGTAAAGAACAGACTGCAAGCTTCTGCTGTAAAGGAACATCATTCTCGCTGCTGTTTGCCGCACTGACGCTGGCTCCATACACATCAGACATCACTTTGGAAATGTGAGAGATGGTCACGGTTTTCACTGTGACTGATAATTCCTTTTTGGTCGACTGTTGCAATCTGCCCAAAACAGAGAAGAAGAAAAACGAACTCAATAATTAGAGAGAAAAAAAACACAAAAAACGTCTTTCAAAAGATACAGTCTGTCCTATACCAATGTCTTTAGTCATCAGTTACTTGTTACCTGAACAAAAAACTAACAAATTGTAAAAGACGAACAAGACATCAGCAGCCTCTTGTCGCAGTGGTGAAATGTAGCGAGCTAGTATGGTTTGGGTACACGGTGAGACATGTTTTGATTGGCGGTGGGGGTGGGGGCCCTTGAATATCAATTTCAAGAAATGGACAGGACTAAATTATTATGGGCTTGTTTAACAAGTGGAAGGCACAGACAACTGATAGGTTTTATATTCTACTGCTTCCTACGATGCATCCCCACAGATTATTTTTTTTCAATGCACTGTAGCACTGGTCAAACTATTTGTCAACAGCCGTTTGTCTCATGTACTGCCAATTATTTCTGACACCGTTATTCATCCATGTCATGGTACCAAAATGTCCCATATCCTTACCCTTGTTCTTCCCTGCCTATATTTACAACTTTCGCAGTGTACGCAAGGTTGTCATTTAAGACTGGGAACTTAGAACCGCATGACTAGTGCTGTTGCCAAGTTAGGGTTTTAATTGTACCCCAAATAGGAAAAAATCCATGACATTACTGAGGATTCGAACCAGGCTCTCCCTTTTTCTTCTGCCCCAGCCCTTACAAGATGTGTTGAGACGTTCACAATTATGCTGCAATATGTGCATCTTTCGGTCGACAAGATACGATTTCAGCAAACTTCTAATTATGCTATCAATGCCAAACGTGGACACATCCTCCAATGAACGTAAAATTGTGACAACAGAGATGAAATGCCTTAGAAGAGCTGCAGGAGTTTAAAGGAAAGACAGAATACGAAATCACGAAAATGCTAGGAATAAAGCCAGTCTTACAGGTCACCAAAGAAAAACAAATAAAGTGGTTTGGACACCTAACGAGAAAGCCCTGGTACTATCTGCCACAGCGAGCCACACTAAAACGTTCTAACGGGTATAGAGTGAGTGGAAGACCTCGGAAAAGATGGCATTAAGAACAGTCTTACAGAAATGAATATCAGTCTTAATAGTGCTCTTGACAGAGCTCATCAATGAACATTACAACCCCCCCCCCTTTCAATGAGGTACAAGGTGGAAGAGAAGAAGAACTACACGCTTGTTAGGGGAGGATAGTGGCTGTATTCTTCCCACCCTTGCCCCCAAAATGGGGTCCCCGAACCCATAGTGGGTTATAAACAAAAACAAACCACTGGAATGTGGAAATTACCTGCTGGCTTTAGAACTTGTTCACATCGAGATTCAGATTCAACCATTTCTACAGCTCGTCTACAAATATCCAGAGCTTTCCGCACATCGCCAGCAACAGCAGAAACTTTTCTGGCACAAAAGTTGACAGCACTGGGCTCCACTACACAGTCCTGTTGATGAGATGTTGTTATTACTAATCCAAGGGTAAACAAAATAATATTAATAACATAGTAATACTAATGAAGAACTTAAACAACAAACATTCATCTATTCTTGAAAGGGTGGTTGGCATGCTGTGTTGTGGTTTACAGCTAGGCTGCGACATCTGCACTTTTTGGCCCAACACTTCCATTGAACACACTTTGCTTTCCTTTTTACGTTCAACCAGCACCCCTAAAGGGAAACTTTGGGTTATAATTGTGACTAATTTTTTTTTAACACCCAGAACCATGAGTTGTTTGTTAACCCTTTGGCTCGGTACTATGGATACCGCAACCCTTCGGCCTTGATTCAATGATAGATACCATAAATCTGGGAGAAATGTGGCTTTTCTGTCTAAACCTCGGCGTGAATACGGACCACAAGAAGTTGTCACCCAGTCGCCGCGTAGTCAGGTTTAATATCAAATGTCTTATCATCACACTGGAAAGGACTAAAATGTCTTAGCATCACACTGAAAAGGACTAAAATGTCTTAGCATCACACTGAAAAGGACTAAAATGTCTTAGCATCACACTGAAAAGGACTAAAATGTCTTAGCATCACACTGAAAAGGACTAAAATGTCTTAGCATCACACTGAAAAGGACTAAAATGTCTTAGCATCACACTGAAAAGGACTAAAATGTCTTAGCATTCACACTGAAAAGGACTAAAATGTCTTAGCATCACACTGAAAAGGACTAAAATGTCTTAGCATCACACTGAAAAGGACTAAAATGTCTTAGCATCACACTGAAAAGGACTAAAATGTCTTAGCATCACACTGAAAAGGACTCAAATGTCTTAGCATCACACTTAAAGGACTAAAATGTCTTAGCATCACACTGAAAAGGACTAAAATGTCTTAGCATCACACTGAAAAGGACTCAAATGTCTTAGCATCACACTGAAAAGGACTAAAATGTCTTAGCATCACACTGAAAAGGACTCAAATGTCTTAGCATCACACTGAAAAGGACTAAAATGTCTTAGCATCACACTGAAAAGGACTAAAATGTCTTAGCATCACACTGAAAAGGACTCAAATGTCTTAGCATCACACTGAAAAGGACTCAAATGTCTTAGCATCACACTGAAAAGGACTCAAATGTCTTAGCAGCACACTGAAAAGGGCTAAAATGTCTTAGCAGCACACTGAAAAGGACTAAAATGTCTTAGCAGCACACTGAAAAGGACTAAAATGTCTTAGCAGCACACTGAAAAGGACTAAAATGTCTTAGCATCACACTGAAAAGGACTAAAATGTCTTAGCATCACACTGAAAAGGACTAAAATGTCTTAGCATCACACTGAAAAGGACTAAAATGTCTTAGCATCACACTGAAAAGGACTAAAATGTCTTAGCATCACACTGAAAAGGGCTAAAATGTCTTAGCATCACACTGAAAAGGGCTAAAATGTCTTAGCATCACACTGAAAAGGGCTAAAATGTCTTAGCATCACACTGAAAAGGGCTAAATGTCTTAGCATCACACTGAAAAGGACTAAAATGTCTTAGCATCACACTGAAAAGGACTAAAATGTCTTAGCATAACACTGAAAAGGACTAAAATGTCTTAGCATCACACTGAAAAGGACTAAAATGTCTCAGCATCACACTGAAAAGGACTAAAATGTCTCAGCATCACACTGAAAAGGACTAAAATGTCTCAGCATCACACTGAAAAGGACTAAAATGTCTTAGCATCACACTGAAAAGGACTAAAATGTCTTAGCATCACACTGAAAAGGACTAAAATGTCTTAGCATCACACTGAAAAGGACTAAAATGTCTTAGCATCACACTGAAAAGGACTAAAATGTCTTAGCATCACACTGAAAAGGACTAAAATGTCTTAGCATCACACTGAAAGGACTAAAATGTCTTAGCATCACACTGAAAAGGACTAAAATGTCTTAGCATCACACTGAAAAGGACTAAAATGTCTTAGCATCACAATGAAAAGGACTCCTGCAGTGTTGATGTACCAAACAAGACACCCAAATATTTTACCGGTAGCGAAGTCGGTCAGCTCTGTGGCTAAGTTGATGCGAACGCTTTGTAATGCTGGGTTCGATCCCAGCTGCGGGCCATGCGCTGCTTCCGACAGTGGTATCAGGGGGCCAACTGAACAAATAGCAATGGCAAACTACTGGACGTAAATTTGCCTAGAGAAACCACACAACAGCCAGGGGCTGCTGGGGTTGGTTTTGCAACGTCCTGTAGCGAAGTCATCTACTGGCAAGCCAATGGACGACCTGGTTGCTGATGATGAGCACACACCTCATGTCTTCCTTTATGACATGCTTCTTAGGGAATTTACTGATGTTATGAGAAGAAGGAAACTGGAACATGTGACCACTGGAAAGATATAGGGAGAGAGACAGAGGAAGACAACATGTGAAGATTCATAACAGGTTTTTCCCCCCCACTACATGATGGGTGTCAATACATGAACTGATACTTGCTGTTAAATATCGCGGATTGTAGCGAGGCATGATCACACAAGCCAGTCGGCTTGGTACTCAATGTCGATATATTAGAAAGCAGCAGGTCCATTCTTTCCCCCAAAATGACAACAGGAACCAACATAGGAAACAAAACTGATAATGGGGTGCATTTCTAGCAAATTCCGTCTACGTTTTCTCTTACCGCCGCTCATAAATGGTGGTAAACCTATTCCAGAACTTTGCTGTGCAGATGACACAGTCCTCCTTTTGAACAGCGTAAAGGGAATAGAAAATGTTATTGTGTGTGCCGAAAAACACAGAGAAGATCAAAACCTGTTCTTGAATTTAAAAACCAAAATAATGGCCAGCTACAAAACTGGCTGTCACCTAAAAAATAATAAATTAAGAAACTGAAGACTTTGAATATCTAGATTCTATAATAAATAGAAATGGAGACACAAAAATCAAAAGGAGGAAATCAAAATTAAAATCTTCCCTGTAGCAATGTACGGTTGAGTCGTGTACTGTCTTTCAGCTTCTGAGCTGAAACGCTATAGAAAGATTTTCAAAATACTATGGACAAAGAAGAGAAGATATACTGATATTTTTAAAGATCTGAACATCAAGGAAGGAAGATTGGTTAATAATCAGCATCTTGCCTCGGAAGCAGAAAAATTTAATATCTAACGCCACGGCGGATTGAAAAAAAACAACAGAAGGCATGGTACCAGGAAGGAGGGACAGGGGCTGACCTTCATGAAAAATGGCACAGGATATAAGTGACTCCTCTCACAAGGCGAGAAAGCTGGCGAGAGACCAAGTTTATTTCAGGCAGACCATGTTGAAAGTGACGTTCTGCAAAGAACTTGCTACAAGATAATGTTTTCTTACCTGACATGCTTACAATTATCAAACATTAAAGGGACAAGATACACACAATTATTACCTTAATCTTAACAATTTGCGTACATATGACCATGCAACATTACAATAAAAAATATTTTTAATGATCTGACAATGACGATTCTTACTCTTTGAAGACGATGTTTAAGAATATCCGTGATCTGCACTGATGAGTATGGACGGAAATTCATCAGTGCTGGCCTACATCTCTCTGAAGCTTGAAGTCGAGGCAAAACACGGTCGGTTAAATCCAAGGCATTAGCGATACCTATTGTTGAAGAAGAAAAAGGATAGTCATACCATATCTATATTTGTAGAGCTGTATTCCAAAATTAATCACTGATTAAAAAATACACTGTTGATTTTTCAATGTTATTTTTTTGTCACATTTACAGTCCATTATTCACTCATAAGGAATCTAACACTAATATAAAGCCTGGATTCACAATTATACATCTATAAATTATATGCAATTCAAACTGACCAATGAGTACAAGTTTTGAGTGATCCAAGGCAGGCCATTCAAAAATTCTGTATAGGATATCATGATGCTTGCTGTCCAACTGGTCAATCTCGTCCAGCACCAGCACTCTGAAATAGAGGACAAAAACTTTTTTTTAAAATGTTTCTCATAGTCTAGTTCAAGTGTGACCTTTTAGAAAGTTTCTTCTTCTTCTTTGCGTTCACCGGCTGTAAACTCCAGCGGAAAGTTCTGGTTTCTCGTCCACTTCTGGACTGCAGTCCTGTTCCAGAACCTGAGTGTTGTGTGTGCATCCATTTTACAAATCTAATTCATTTGTATGCAGACTGTTGGTTCCTTGCCTCTCAGGCAGATGCACTTCGAAGGAAGCTTCCAATTAGTCGACTCTTACGACATGCTTTTGAGTAGGCAGTGGGTCTATTCTTGTTTTCCCTATAATAGGGCCCCCGAAACCCACACAAAGGTATTAGAAAGCTTTAAAACTGTAATGATCCAGCAAATCGGCAGTGGTGTCTTTTCTTTATTTACCAGCTGCAAGCTCCAAAGGAAAATCCTGGTTGTACATCCACTTGGACTTTGGACTCCTAGGATCTGGAGTCTTCGCAGAAAAAAATTATCTCAAGTACTTTTCCAGCCGTACACAGCAGTGATATTCTTCTGTAATTATTGCAGTCACTCCGATCACCCTTGTTTACCTTACTTAAATTATACAATAATCACAGGTGGTAGACTACGTTCCCTACTTACATGCATTCATCACAGGTGGTAAACAAAACCTCCAGAGCACGAACACTGTCTTTAGCTTTGACTGGTGAGCCTGTCAGCTGCTGGTGAATCTGTTGAATGACTGCGCTGGAGTCTCTCAACGTCATACAGTTGATGTAGCCCGTACGTAGGTCATCATACTCACTCTGAAGAGATAGAAGTTCATGAAAAAATTAACCACACTGAAAAATTAACATGAGCTGTGGATAACAATCTTCTTCATTCACCCCAATGACGTAATGGATTTGGAACTGTTTACAGCACAGCTGCGATAAATGAGCCTTTCGGCCAATAAATATGACTACTTTAGGTATTTATTTTTCCGAGTTACCCCTCACGATTAGTTTGGATAAGTTTCATGAGAGTGGAAATTTAAAAAAAAACAAAAACTAATGTGAGAACTCGGGAATCTAGTATTCAATATGGAGCAAAACAATTTACCATGGACTGTCATACAAAGAACAAGAAAAATGAAGGGTGGCCAAAGGTAAACTGAGAAAAGATACTTGTATAGAAGAGCAAATCAACAAAATTAATCAAACACAAAACCTCTACTCTTCTTCTTTGCATTCACCAGCTGCCAACTCCATTGGAAAGTTCTGAATGTTCATCCACTTCTGGACTTTAATCTTGTTACAGAATTTGAGTTTGGCATGCACATCCATTTACAGATCTGGTATTCTTCTTCTTCTTCGCGTTCACCAGCTGTACACTCTGGCGTAAAGTTCTGGTTGTTTGTCCACTTCTGGACTACAGTCCTGCTCCAGAACCTGAGTGTTGCGTGTGCATCAGTTTTACAGATCTGATTCAATTGAATGCAGACTGCTGGTTCCTTGCCTCTCAGGCAGATGCACTCCGACTTCAAAGGAAGCTCCCCAGTTAGTCGACTCTTACGACAGGCTTTTGGGGAGGCAGTGGGTCTATTCTTGTTTTCCCTACAATAGGGCCCTGGAACCCACACGGGGGAGACCTGGTATTTAAAATTATGCAGACTTTTGGTTTCTCATTTCTCAGGCAGATACATTCTGGCTTCAAAGGAAACACCCCTAATTAGTTTACTCTTATGACAAGCTTGTTAGGGGCAATGTATCTACCACCCCCCTCCCATAAATGGAGTTCAAAACATGGCGAAAACAAAGAACCTCAGACTAAATAAAAGGTAACTTTGGTAACCCTAAATTCTATTTTTTTTTTTTAAATTAACAAAATGGTGGTAATAACGGCATCATAAAAATAAAAACTATACCAATAGTTGTTTCTTCATTGTATATAAAATGCTGAGCAACTATTTTTTTTTATATATTTATAAGTTAACTTGAGATGGCTGACATCATAAACTGTGGCGCCATCACTGTGACCATTCAACAGTTACTCATCAGTACCTATATTTAGCCTATTGAAGATGTAATGTCTGCAGTCCCAACATAGCAGTCTGTACACTTGTGTCGCTTTCCCTGAAAATTAATCATTCTTCTTCAGCATTTGAGGGTGGTTGGCAGGTTGCATTGTGGTTTACAGCTAGGCTGCTATATCTGCACCCTTCTGGTCAACACATCTGATTTCAGCAAATCCTTAATTAGTTGCCTTATACATGCTTTTTGAGGGGCATTTGCACCACCAGCTCACCCTCCCACAAGGAGGGGCCAGCCCTGAAATCCACACAGGGATCACAATTTATTTTAATATGAATAAGTTGGTCTAAAAAAATTTATTCACGAAACTTCTTCTTCTTCGCGTTCACCAGCTGTACACTCTGATGGAAAGTTCTGGTTGCTTGTCCACTACTGAACTGCAGTCCTGCTCCAGAACCTGAGTGTTGCGTGTGCATCAGGTTTACAGATCTCATTCTCTTGAATACAGACCGTTGGTTCCTTGCCTCCCTGGCAGATGCACTCCGACTTCAAAGGAAGCTCCCCAATTAGTCGACTCTTACGACATGCCTTTGGGGAGTCAGTGGGTCTATTCTTGTTTTCCCCACAACCCACACGGGGGGGGGGGGGGGGGGGGGGGGGGGTCTCCACTAAACATTATCAATTATTTTGAAAATCTTATGTCCTCACCCGTAGTTTATCAATGACATGGTTAACGACAACTGTTTTCCCGGTGCCAGGCGCCCCAGATATATACAGGCTGCCGCTGGTGCCACTGTCGAGTTTGTCACAAATGAAATCTTCCAGTTCTGTAGACTCTCCATCTCTCCCTATGAGACGATCTGGTTTAGCTGTGTGGAGGCATCTCTTGGCCAGTCAGATAAGGTTTTGCTACCAGGGTTTTAAAAGCAATGAAAAAAACAGTAAGATAAGCAGTTAAAAATTGGTTCAATAATTCAGTCTTATCTTTTTCTTAGCGTTTACCAGCTGTAAACTCCACAGAAAAGTTCTGGTTGTTCATTCACTCCTGGACTTTGATCTTGACTAGATCTTACTTGAGTTCTGCATGTATATCTTGTTTTAAAATCTGGTCTATTTGTATGCAGACTGTTGGTCCTTTGCCTCTCAGGCAGATGCAATGTGTCGTTATAAAGAAAATAAACCCATATCAAGACAGCCATTAGAATCTACTGGAACACTTCCCATAACATTTGTATTTACAAAATCCTGATGACAAACTTAACCGTCACAGACACAAGAAACAGACTTTGCTCTGGAAAGCTAGCATTCTGGTATAAATTAAGCTGTGGAGAATATGCAACACAGCCTTCGGGGACCTGTGGCCTTGTCTAAAAAACCAATGGCAGGGAGAAAGAAAAGAAAAAAAAAATTAAAAATGGGACAGTCTTGTTGTTAATTCTCAACAACTAACCTAACACAACATCCAACAATTAAGTCCAATAATATCAGATTACTACAAATGATACAAACTAACCTGCAGATCTAGGTCTCCCTGGAGTTGACATCCTAACTGGCGTACCCAGCAACTGCTTCAATGGGCTGCCATCTTCATTGCTGGTCAACTTGCTTGGTGACCCAAACAATCTTCTTGGAGTCGAACCGGCGGCTAAAAAAAAAAAAAAAATGCACAAAATCTATTAATGTTTGCATTTTTTTATAAAGTGTATTTTGTTGTCTACCTAACTAATCGTAACTACTGAACTGCCATGGGGGGAAAAAAGTAAAGGACCTTTTTTTGGCGCAGACTACATTAGAACTGTGACGCTAAAGTCTCATTTTTAACAAATCAAAGGGTACTAAATCTGTCAGAACACCTGTGGTCAACCCAGCCTCGTAAAAATGTTATCACAATCGACATCATTGAACATTGGGTATTACCGTGTGGTCAAGCCTCTGATGCAGAAGCCGCCCCAAAGTTATTCTATCTTTCTAGCCCCCTTATAGAGCACAGGCACTCAACCAATTCACTCCAAGAAGTTCTATTCTTCGCTATTACATGCAGCTCTTCCTATGTCCTCCCCATCTTTTTAACTTTGTTCTCTAGCTCCCTTCTCCATGTGTTTTTTGTCTTCCTTTATCCCCTGTGGGTACCAGTGCAAAGACATTCTAGTTGTTATTTTTGTTCAACGCATGTCCTATCCAACGCCAGCATCTTTTCTTCACCGCTTGGTCAACTGGAACTTGTTCAGTAATCTACGGATAGGTTCCCATAAAATAGGTACAAAAGAAGACAACTAATTCTGCAGGCTGGAAACGCGTAAATGATGGTTCACCTGACTGATCTGATGAACCACCCAGATCTAATACCTGCAAATCTAAACATCATAAAAATTTACACCTTTAAAAATGACTGGTAGGCTTTGACTGCAACCGTTTATGTCTAGAAAAAAAAACTGAAATAATAAAGTATACTTTCAGCTTTACCGGCCCAAGGTGGGTTTCGGGGCCTCATTGCGTGTATGCGGATGGGGGGAGTGTGTGTGTGTGTGCTTTCCGAACAAGCATGGCGTAAAAGTAGACTAAGGGTTTTCTTCGAAGTTGGAGTGCATCTGTCTGAGAGGCAAGGAACCAACAGTCGAGGATCCAACAGTATGCATACAAATAAGCCATATATATAATGGATGTGGAGGCAAAATTTAAGTTCTGGAACAAAACTAGTCCAGAAATGGATGAACAACAGGACACTTAGCCGAAGAGTTTACAGCCGGTGAATGTGAAAAAGAATGTTAGTCTTAATTAACAAAATTACAACCGCGCACAAAAAATTAACTGACCGCATATGGTATTTAAATATTAGGTTAACAAAATCCTAGTCTTCTGTCTTTCTCTTCATAACCTATGTTATCTGATCCTACCTTAGCATTCAGGCCACCAATCAAAATTTGTATATTCTGCCCTTTCTTTCATTATTTAAAATATTTTGAAGCTGCATGTAAAATTCTTCTTTAACTTATGCATCCTTATCATTTGTTGGTGGATACCTACATGTTCAAAATCACAGTAAGCGGTAGAACTATATAAAGTATGTGATATAGAGAAAACTGTAAAACAACTATAATTACCTAAGGATTTGGTCATGACTGATCTTCGAGAAGATTTGGGTGTTTCAGGAGATGCAGCAGCTTCGGCACCAACGAGTGGAGACTGGTGAAGCCTTTGGGATGAACTGGAGCCACACGCTAACAGACTAGACCTCAGCAATGATTTGTTAGCAGAAGGTGACCTAGATGGTTTTACTGGGGATACAAAATTGTTGGAGCAATCATTTTCGTCATCTGATTTTCTTTTTGCTGCAGCTGGAGATTGCCGGCACGATTTTACAGGTGACAGTGAATCTGCTGAGCAATCATTTTCATCATCTGATTTTCTTTTTGCTGCAGCTGATTTTACAGGTGACAGTGAATCTGCTGAGCAATCATTTTCGTCATCGGATTTCCTTTTTGCTGCAAACGGGGACTGCCGGCATGATTTTACAGGCGACACAGAATCCGCTGACCTGTTATTTTCACCATCAGACTTTCTTTTTGTTGGAGACAGAAGCCGTTTGCACACAATTGTCAGATCTGAAATGAAAATATAACGAGTGTCTTTATGAAAACACATCGTACACTAATCATAACAAGTTAATTCATTAACTATCTTTACTAGTTGTGTTTAGATCTTTTAGGGTGGTGTAGGATAGGGAAGTCATAAGCAGGAGGATTTTAGCTGCTTGACCAGTGCAGTCTTCATGAACTGTATGTTGGAAATGTTTGCCTCAGAGAAGAAGAAAAAAAAACATTCATGACAGAGGATCAAACCTGGGTCCCTGTATTCATTAACTATCGCCATTTCCACAAGTAAAAGACAGCACTTATTTTCCTTAAAATATAGGGTATAAAAAAAAACAGTGTGCTTATACAATGGTTAGATTTTTACCAAATGATTTGTTAGAAAATCTCTTACAGGGCTTCATTTGGGAATGTCGGTTCAGGGGCAGCGTTACAAAGTTGCCATGAAGACAATGGAACCATGAAGTCTTTTAGGAATAATATGAAACCAGCAGGTAGTGCGAAAAAACTGCTACAGAAGTTTGTTTGTATCTGCATGAAAATATTCTGGGATAATGTAAACAGTGAGATCGCTGTCAAGTCCTTCCAAAATTGTGGCATTTCACATGCCACAGGTGGAACTGAAAATTGTGCAACACATGAAGATCAGGCAATACATGAAGACAGTGATTCGTCATCAGACAGATGAGGATAAGTAAAAGAACTACCATAAGGATGAGAGTTTTGACAGTGATGAGTTTTCTGGATTCTATGGGGAAGAAAATGTCAGTTCAATAACTTTATGTATTCAACATTTTTTTTAATGCCGGGTCCCAAAATCAAGGTGCGTCTTATACAAGAGAAAATACAATAATTAACAGAAATCAGTGTTGCTGGGAAAGCTGCAAATTTACTGAGTGGTGTAGTAAGACCAGCTGAAATAGAGGCCATACAAAAACGAAAAGTTATCTCCATATAACAGTTGACACACTCCTCAGAAAATAAAAAATCTATTCTGGGGCAGAGATGGGAATATGTCCTCTTTGGCAGTGATGGACAAACAGTAGGGTTAGTTTGTTGTGAATCGTCTGGAAAACCTAGCTTCAACTCTTAAAAGCTTGCATGGCCTCTAAACCCAGGAAAGGTCTTGAATCTATCACAGCGAAGTTGCTGGACAGAATCCTTTAAACATAACACTAAATGACTATCTGCAAAAGTTGCTAGACAGAATCCTTTAAACATAACACTAAATGACTATCTGCAAAAGTTGCTAGACAGAATCCTTTAAACATAACACTAAATGACTATCTGCAAAAGTTGCTAGACAGAATCCTTTAAATATAACACTAAATGACTATCTGCAAAAGTTGCTAGACAGAATCCTTTAAACATAACACTAAATGACTATCTGCAAAAGTTGCTAGACAGAATCCTTTAAACATAACACTAAATGACTATCTGCAAAAGTTGCTAGACAGAATCCTTTAAACATAACACTAAATGACTATCTGCAAAAGTTGCTAGACAGAATCCTTTAAACATAACACTAAATGACTATCTGCAAAAGGACCGATATAAACCTGCTGTCCATTCCAAGTCCAAAAACTCCAGTCGTGTGCAATACTGCTAATGAACCTTGCACATCTGCAGGTATGGTAGCATGTAACTAAGTCACGATTCACTACATCATATAAGGAATGGCTTAAATTACATCTACTTTGGTAATTCATGTTGGTATACAACTTATCATTAAGTTTAATACCGTTACAACTAAGTCAGGCTATCAATTTTTTTTAGAATAAATGTATATATAAACATACCACGAAATCCATTTTTTTGGGGGTAAAATATCTAATCTATTACATTAGAGATACGCGCGCCGCGGATCAGAAGGTCGGTTCGCTCCCTGGAGGAGACAGACTTTTCTTAAAAAATGACCTTGGCTCTCAGGTCGACCCAGCCTTGAGTGGGTACCGGGTGCAATCCCGGGAAGTAGAGGCGGCCGGCGTGATGCTGACCACATCACCCATCTTGTGCCGTTGGTCTATAAAAATATAGGTCTAGCCCTATATGCCCTATACGCCTAAAGGCGTGGAAAGGGTCCTTCACTTTACTTTTACTTACTTACATTAGAGATATTTGTTGTGCAATAGAAACTAATATTTGGTCTTCTGTTTAATTTTAACAGGGCCATCAATTGCAAATGGGAACTCTTTTTTTGTGTGTGGAAACATGTGGTGCTGGTACAGTGCAAGAGACAAGGAAAAAAAAGAAATTGTTCCTCTCCGCGTTCACCTGCTGTAAACTCCAGCAGAAAGTTCCGGTTGTTCGTTCACTTCTGGGCTCAATACTTGTTCTAGAACTTGAGTTTTGCATGTACGTCCATTCTTACAGATCTGGCCTATTTGCAAACTGTTGGTTCCCTGCTTCTCCCCCCCCCCCCCCCCCCCACACACACAATAGGACCTGGAACCGACACAGCGAAGTGAAGAAAATGAAGTTCAAAACATGTTTCAAATAAAAGAAGCTAATGAACACACTGTAGTACACACAATCGTACCATCAATGGTTAATCCTGACAAACGAGGAGAAGAATTTAGCCTCGAAACAGACACTGGCGTCATATATTTGGGGGAAGCTGGCGTATGTGGCGAGCTGGAGGATTTTGACGACACAGACAAAGTCCTGGACCTACCATCTCTCAGTAACAATGTAGACATTAGGCTCTGCTCTTTGTCTGGAAACGTCTGATCACCAACTGCTGTTAAAGTAAATTTTTTGGAATAAATTCGTTATTGAATTTAATTTTTTATCACATAATTATTTAACCATGTCTAAGATTGTCATAATTCAGTTAGAATTATCTTCCTTTTTTCGTACCTCCCTTTCAGACATTTATTGTCAATGTCAGGTTAATATTTAGGCAATATGAATGCTAACTGAAAAATGGGCCATGAACCGGTGAGAATTTCTGGGGTGAGTTCCTTTACAATAGCCTATTTTACATATGTAATTAATAAACTGTTTAAAATGTATCTACATTTTTAAAATACTTGTTTCGAAATAGACAGATATAAAAAAGAGGTTAATAAACAGCATGGAGTGAATTGAAGCAATTAACGGAATTCATTCCTCACGGCCTAATGCAAATTTGTACCAGCAACATTGCCATGACCCCATTTTTAATAGGGTCAAAATTTTCTTGTATTTACATAGAAACCTTATCAATCCTGTTAAAGAACATTTTCAGTTATTGTCTGGTAATCCTAGTTTCAGCTTCATAGCAAATGGGTCACCCCATAGTTGCTCCGCTCCTGGGCCAACGAAAAACACACGTAGCTCAGTGTCACGCCATGACTCAACTCAGAAGCTGGGCGACGAAACTTATTCAATTATTGTATATGCTCCAACCTCATCAGCTGCCCATTTCCCAAGCACAGGCCCTCAACTAACTATCACCCAGAAATAAATCTTTTGCCACCATGCGCAGCTTCATCTTTGTCTTATTCATTAGTCTCAATGTTTTTTGTCTGCCTGAAATCTTTGGCCCTGAAGGTTCCAATGCAAAGATATTCTAGTTATATTATCATCAGGTTTTATTTGTTTCAGTGACAAAATATACCTCGTCATTAGTAAGGACTGAACAGCACACTACTATACTGGCAGACATATAACTAAACCATAGCAGTAAAGATTAATTCAACTGTAACTCTTTCAGTTATAGTTTGAGATCCTTTTTTTTTAAATCCTCCCCAAACAAAGGAAATCCTGTTGTTCCCAGGAAAGTCTAATATTCTAGGGGTGTTATGGTTTGGGAACAGTCTGTGTCTCTAAAGCAGTCGTGGCTGGCAGAGATCCTAACCCTAACTCCGCTAGAACATTAGACTTTCCCAGAAACTCCACAATTTCCTTTGTTTTGGGGTAAATATTTTTAAAAAAGTACTATAGTTAATTTAGCATCATATATCCCAGGAGGGACACTAACAACAAATAAAAACTCTTCTTCTTCAAGGCATGTAACTGTGTTGTGCTCATTTACAACATGGTTGGGATATTGGCCCCTTTCAGCCAACACTTCAGGTATTTGTTGCCAGGGTTAACATTTCTGGAAACGATTTAATTCTACAGCTTCCAAATACACCAGAACCTGCAATGCATGTTAACATATACAGAAAGATTGTATTGGTATATTCAGACCAAATGCAAGAGATATAAATAATAAACCACACACTAGTTGACACAAGGGGCTTCAAATGGAAATCATGACAGGAATTACAATACCCATGCTACATTCCTGTTAACTTGTTGATACTGTTGTCAAAGAGGGTTAAACATATGACACCCACAGTGACGTCATGACAGTTTAGAGATAGCCACCCAACATTTAACATCCTCAACAATACTGATAGGTGACAAGACAATGACACTGTTGTCCCCCCCCCCCCCCCACGTTTTTATTTAAAGCTCACTCGTACAGTAGACACAAGATGTATTTCTTGAAACCGAAAGAGTTAAATTCAATATATCATATAAAATAGTTAACCATCACTCACAACATTCAGCGACTGGGGTTGGATTTGCAGTGCAAATATCTGTTTTACTGTCGTCTGAGACCTTTTCTTCAAGACCTTTGGCAGACAGACGGTTGCTCTTGCGGACAAGGAATGATGACTTAATTGTGGCCATTACAAAATATGACTGTCTTTAATCTTTATATCTGAAAAAGAATGTATAAATTATAAGTTAGCTTAACAGACATACATTACACAATAGTAGTAGATGCAATAGTTAAATGCCTTTACTGCAATTTCTAAAACTAGAATAAGAAACTGTCTACTGACTGACTAGCAGTTACTTGAGTTTCACTGAACAGATTCCGCCCCATACATACCCAAAAACAAATTTTAAAAAGTGAAGAAATAAGACAACAGAATGTAATATTTTCAGTCAAACTACTTATTCTTCGAAGCAAAATGAAATCAAACTTAAAAATTACTGATGACAATAATAACAATTTAAACAAATTATAAGTCTAGCTCAGTCTATCAGTATCAGATCAGCTGATCAGTGTAGTGTTGAGTTTCATAAGTAAATAAATCATCATATAGCACAGGATAAAATAATTTTTCAAGTCCTAAAAATTCCAACTTAAAATGAGATCCAAACAAAGGTCACACTAAGAAGACAAGGCATTTGATGATTAGTTTTATTTACTTTGAATGTCACTTATGGAAACTATTTGTTAAATATTAAATGAGATGTCCTACCCTACATCGCAAACGAGAGACGCCCGATTTTAGGGCAGCCGCTCAAAAATTATGAATACGTGTCACAAAATATTAAACTACGTATATATCCTGCTTTAAAAGCATGATACATTTAGAACTTTGTTTAAGTCCAGAGTATTATTAGTTACATTAGTATTAGCATTATCTTCTGTGAGTGAGCAGTGACGACTTCTTGTGGAGAAAAAAAATTATCCTCCCAAATTTTTGATGATCGGTCAGTATGACAGTGACAGCATCATATTAATAATCGATCCGTGGACTTCCTTATAAATAAACATCAGACATCACTTGTTGCAGCAATCAGTAACAATAAGATACATATGTACTCTAACTTTATTATAAACCAGTAACGGCAACAAGAAACCACACCTGAAACAAACAACTAGCGGTCAGCTGAGGTAATCTGTTCTTGTTGGCTTTGTCCCGGACACTCTGCCTCACGCTTGCCTCCAGACGTCTGTTTGGCGCGGGTCTGCCCTCCTGCGATTTCATTGGCTGAGACCCGGGTTTCATTAAAAAGTCAGCTTACATGAGCGCGAAATTCTTCGTGCTCGGTGGTTATCGCTTTCTTTTCATATTAGACTTTGGAATATATATAATACAAGTCGAGGCCAACAAAGCTGTGTTTAATGCAGTCTTCCTATTATCTACCCTCATTTGACAACAGAGGACCTAAGAAATTATAGGGGCCCCAGCCCTGTGATCGTGCAGGTATATTGACAAGGCACAATGTGGCACAGGCGCTGAAATCTGCTGCTCGGGCCCCTTGAGAGCTCCCCCCCCCCCCTCTCGAAAAAAAATTAAACATTTAATATAGCTAAGCAGCACTTTGTATCCGTATATAGTAATTACCTGTCCCTAAGTGTGAGCCTCATTTTTCGTGTGGAGGAAAAGGGGGGGGGGGGGGAGTCCACCGGCCGCCGCCTAACTAGGATGCCTTAAATGGCAATTAATTATGGGGTTTTCCTTCGAAGTTCAGCTGCCTGAGAGGCGAGGAACCAACAACTTGCATTTAAAAAAAAAAAAAAGCTCTGAAGAACGAATGTGCATAAAAAATCCAAGTTCTGTAACAAGACTAAAGTCAAAAGTACACGAACAGCTAGGGCTTTCCGATGGAGTTCACTATTTATACATTTCATGTTAATTGTATTTATTTACTATGCACCGCGTTATCATTATTATTAAGCTCTTAAACCAGGATTAGATATCATAAGGCTCTGCTTTGCCTAGAAAATTTGTTAAGTGGAGTGGGGAGTTTGCCAAACACCCCCCCCCCTCCCCTTCCCTATTTGATATTTTATTGGAGTGGGGTTTTTTTTTTGGGGGGGGGGGGATGACTCATGGACCTGAGCTTCCTTCCAGGTTCCGACACCTATGGGGGTCCCGGTTAAAAACGTGTTTACTCACAAGCCATAAATAAAAATTAGTAACTATGATGAGATGTCTGAGAAAGACAGCAGGAATAACCAAAAGAGATACAATAGGAATGAGGGCATATTATGGACGAGTCGGCACAGAACCAATGCTTCATTACATACAGAGACAGCAAATCACATGTTTGGCCCACTTAGCACCCTTGTCGGACAAAAATGTTTTCGCGGCATACATACCCGAAATACAGATTGAATACGTAATGGGGGGGGGGGGGGGGGGGGGGGGGGGGGGGGGGGGGGGGACAGTGCCCATTTAATGTTCAGTTGTCTTTAATACGATCAATGAAACTGTTTGGATGAATTTTTTCATTATTTCCTTTATGTTTATGGGAAGTTTAGTTAATTGTATCCTCAGATCACTCCCAGAAAGTTAGCTCCTGATTCGTTTTTTTTTTTTTTTTTTTAAATGTAAGCGTACGCTAAGAATGCTTTGTAGCGTTGCCAACTGTATTGTCTTCTGAATACATCTGTATCTAGAACTCTTCTTGACTTCCTTTATGGTATTTATGTTTTAAACTGATGTCTTCGTTGATCTCAAGCAGATTTTACAAAAATTCCTGATTACTGCCGCACGCTGGCGGCACCCAGTTTGAGATTTGGTAGTTTGTCATTGCTTATGTATCGGTCAGCTCTCGGTGGCACTGTTGAAACCAACGCAAGGTCTGCAGCTGGGATCGAACCCGGTACCTCGGCTTTACGAAGCGCGTTCGCAACGCCTAAGCCACATACGACAACTGACAAAAATTAAAAAACACCACGAGAGAGACCAAGATGGAAAGATAACATCAGAGAAACTTTACAACAACACAATGTGCCTATGGTCGAGGCGATCAGAGGAGCAAGAAGCAAAAACTAATTTTCCCTCGAAACCCGGTGCGGTAACAGAGGAAATGAAGACTAATAACAGGGTTGCCAGATTAGCTCAAATTTCATTCCAATCCGTATAGTAGCTCCTTTAGTCAGTGGATGTCAGTTTCGTAGGTTGCGATGCTAGTCTAAAATAATTTTGTAAAAATAATAATAATAATAACTGCTTGGTTGTCTCATCACTCGTTGCACGACGAAAAATTCAAATTTTCTGATATTTGCGTTTGTTTCAGATTAATTGACTACAGGTTATTTGGGAACAAGCAACTGAATCAGTAGAGAAACAAGATTATTATGGCCTGGAGAGAATGAGGCACCTGTGTGTAACCAGAGGGTCTGTCGAGAGCCCTGGTCTGGCCGGCTCACTACACTCAGAGGAAAGGCAAGACGGACATAACCAGATTGTGACCGGTACCATCAGTTTTGGAACTCTGCCTTGGCTGCTGAATATAAGGACAGAGAACGCATGGGAATGCCCTAAGTGCTGTGATGTTAATTTTTGACTCAACTCAAGGTTATTTGGGCTTTTTTTTTCTAGATGGCTCGCGACCAGATTAGTGATTTTAAATTTCGCCCGGGGGCCAATACTAAACGCTGCATTAATGACACTTTAATACAGTTCGTCATGTTGTGGCGACCCACAACTAAACTATTATTTGTGTGGCTACTTTATGTTGCTTTCTGAGTTAGTTAAAACCATAACCCTGATTCGTTAGGGTTCAGAAGGTGTATTGATGGAAGCATTAGCACAAAAAACCCGCCATCTTTCGTATGACGAATAAGTGTATGATAACTTAGTCCTGCCGATTTTTTGCCATTCTAGGATCTTCTTCGACATACCCCCCCCCCCACCCCACCCCACCACTTTCCATCAGTGCGGTCATCGAATACTGTATACGGAAGTGAGGTTAAACAGCCATGAGCAGGTCGTGACGACTCCCTGGGTGAGCCCAGTACCAGGACAGCATTTATTGGATCTGCATATATGAAAGCTTCCTTGGATCGAGGATATTGATTGACATGGCTGCTCTGGACCAGTCTGACAAAGGGCACGGACTGTAGAATAGGAAATAAAGATGACCAAGCAGCAAGGAGACAGTGTCCAACTAAGATAACCCGGGCATCAGCCTGCAGAAATCAGACGTGTCTGCCGAAAGGCGCAATATCTCAGCCATGTTGTAAACGGGCACAACGCATCTGTATCTTCAGATGACCGCAGAAGATGGATTAAAAGAACATTTACCGCGGTACTACTGAATTGCCCTTTGAGTCGCTAGATCAGGACCTTTTAACTGGATGGCCAAATCTGGCCGCGGATCATCTGCCAATTGTATTATGTTAATGGGGTCTGAATGGTCTAGAGGCGTGGCTCCTGCCTCGAGTTCTGGAGGTCCCGGTGAAGGCTGGGATTTTTTCACGTATACTTCTAGTAATTTCCCTTGGTCTCTGGGTAGTAAGATCGGACGCCCGTGTGCACTTTTGCGCAGGTAAAAAAATCCCTTGGCAGTTAGAAATCGAAAAAAATAGCGTAATGGCACTGCCCGGGCAAAATATGGAGTTAAAAATCTACACAAAGTCTTCAGGATCCTTACCCGTGCTACGGAGTTCGTGCACTGCGCTGAGATTCTTGAGATTCAGGCTTGAGTTAGAGGTATCCTTTACAGGACATTGCAGAACCAACCCCAAAAGCCCCTGGCCGACATTGAGTTAGAACTAGAACATATCAATTATGGATTACTACCTTTATGCCAGGATGTTGACACGTTATTCAAACCAAACAAAGGATCGTGTATTGATGGAAGCATTAGCAAACAAAGCCCGCCATCTTTCTTTGTCTTCCGCTTGATAAATAATAGTATTATAACTAAGTCCTGTCCCTTCATGTTGTCATTCCAACTTCTTCTCTGACTACTACTCCCCCCCCCCCCCCCCCCCCAATGTTCCTTGAAGCACAGTCTTTGCAATCGAATACTGTCTCACCAAGTACCCAAACCAAGCTAGCTTGCGACGTTTCACCCCAATGAGAGGCGCCTCCTGTCCTGCAAATTGGTAGATTTCGTCTCTTGACATATTTATTAGTTTTGTGTTTTAAATATCT